TGTGTTTGTCAGGGACACTGTCCTCCTTCTGGCGCTTGCTGAAATTATTCCTTACCCTCCCAACCATAACCCAATGAAAATAGGGACGTCCTATCCCATAATAATATTAATAGTTTTCTTATTTGTACCCGTCTGACTAGGTGGCCCCAGACACCCAGGGAGGCTTCCAACATGTATATATAAAAGCATAACCAAACATTAAACAGCTTCCCTCTCCAGATGTCTTCTAAAGGTTGTCTGGTTACTTATCTCCCTGGCTCGTGGGTTCCGCAACTCCAGGCCCTCCAGCATTTCTCCGATGATCATAGGGACATCCTAAGCCTGGATGTCTCTGTTGGTTAGAGCCAAGGTTGCAGGTTTGATCCCCGTTTGGGGCAGCTGGATATTCCTGCATTGCAGGGGGCTGGACTAGACGACTCTCGGGGTCCCTCCCAACTCCCCAATTCTATGTTTCTAAGGAAAAGGGGGACATTCTGGGATCACACCTGAAACCGGAGGGGCTTGTGTAAATCTGGGACTGTCCCTGGAACATAGGGACACTTGGAAGGCCTGTTAATCTTGGTTAGACAAGCCTATTCAGATGCTTAGAAAGCTGGCAAGACTTTTAATCTGTTTTTAGCTCTTGCCATTTTAACTTTTTAACTCAGCTTTTAAGTCATTGTTAATTCTTCTTAATGGTGATTTTATCTTTTGGCAAAATGCTTTGAGGTTCTTTTTTTCCAATCAAGGGGTGTATATTTTTATGAAATGAATAAATTAAGCAAAGACTCCACTAGAATATAAATTTCATTATTTGCACCCCACATGCCTGACTGGGTTGCCCCAGCTACTCTGGGCGGCTTCCAACAGATCTAAACACATAATAAAACATCAAATGTCATATAAAGCCTTATATGTTTAGACTGATGTTTGCCAGGCGCTCTCTTCAGGGTGAGGGGGGTGTTCTTCTGCTTGCAATACATGAAAATAATATTTGAAATTAATAATAATTATGTTTTTAATTGAATTCTGTTGAAGTGCCACCTGAGGAAAGAGCCATGGCGTTTGGGCACAGTTCAGAGGGCATTTCCTTTCTCATTGCTTGCAAAATATTCTGAACATTTTTATGTCTGCAATGTGCTGTTTCTCCTTTGAGATACCACATGTCTGAACTAGGGGTGGGGTGCTGGGTTTGCAGATGGAAGGCTGCCTGAGAAGATCATCTTGATTTCTTGCCATTTTTTTCAGGGGAAGATGGACTGGACCAGAGGAGGTTCAAGTGACTCAGAGGCAGATTGACTGCTTGGGGTGGGTGGATTATTCCAGATCTATTTCGCAGGAGCTCAGCGGGTGCCTTGGGCTCCGTCCCTGCCTCCCTTCCGTCAGGCTGGGACCCTCATGCATCCCCTGCTTTGGAGAGGCGAGGGGGCGCAACGCTCTCCTCCTCCCTTCCGCCCCCCCGCCCCATTCACAAGCCAGATTTGGGGGGGGGGTTTGAGCCTTTCTCTCGCTCCTCTCTCCAGGATCAGGGAAGCCCCGGGAGGGAGCAGGGGGCTCGGGATGCAGAAGGAGCAGTTCTCGTGGAATTGGAGAGTTCAGCCCTTTCCTCCTCCTCCGTCTCGGCAGCGAAGAAAGACAAGCGCTGGATCGCACCTCTTGGGGAGCCCAGGGAAGCATCCTGACCTGATTTTGCGCGTGTGCGTGTGAAGAGGTGGTTGCATCTCTCTCCTCCCCCCCCCCCGCCCCTGGCTCGCCCGGTTGCAGAGCCTGGCTACAGCCCGAGTCCTGGCAACCCATCCTGAAGCGGGGGGGGCAGGGGGGGCAGGGGGATGAAGGAGGAAACAGCCTCTAAAGGGGCTGAGCCCGTTGTTCCTCCTGCCGCGATCTCGGGCTGGAAGAGGAAGAGGTTTGAAGGGCGGCGGGGTCCCTTCAAGGCTGCCCCCCTCCACAAGCCAGATGGGGGTGGGTGATGGGGAGGCAAGGCCCCCACTCCTTGGGCTAAGACGTCCCAGGCCCATCTCCACTCCCCGGAGTGGGATATTTCGCTGCGTTTTAACCCCTGCATGCGCGCAGCCACGCGCACGTGGGAACTTAAGCCAGTCCCGTGTACACCCCCGCACGAGTCATCGGCCATATCTCCGTTTCTCAGCGGCTCCCGCCCAAGTTCATGTTTTTCTAAAACCCCAGAAGAGGCTGGCGGTGCTGCTTGGGCTGCGAGTTGCAAGCCGGTCTGGTCCTCCTCAGCCCCCCCCCCCAGGTCTGCCCGAGAGACTCAGCAGGGGGAGGGGGGCTGTTCCTGCCCTGCTGCACCCCCAGAATTATTCTTCGGGGGGGGGGAGGCCAGGAAGATGCTCTGGGGGCAGAACCCCCCCGCCTCCAGGGGGCGCACAGAGCGAAGAGACGCCTGGCCGGAGAGAGAGAGAGAGAGGGACGAATGGGAAGAATCCAGACCCGGAACCCTGTAAGAAATGCCTTGACATTATGACAACACTCGCCACTTAGGAACGAGCTGCTTACAGACGAAGACATGGTTCGGAAAATCATTTATATTAGTTTTCAATTACAATATTCCAATAAAAGCCTCATTATAACTATGACAAATTATAATACCATTAATAATATGAGTCATTCAAAAGCCAAATTATACAATTTAGGTCCCCCCCCCCACGTGCTGGAATTGATGGTTTGATTTACTTTATTTCTGCGTTCCAAAATCTTACAGATTTCCACCACCCTCCAGTCAGAAAAACAAACCCTTATACCCCAACTGTAATTTTAACGACTTCCATTCGCATTCACACATTCAATGATTTATAGTCCTGCAGGTGAAGCATTTAAACTCTCTCTGTGTTCTTTTTGTTATTCTGTCCATGGTGTTTCTTCCTGTCCTTGTAATATATTAGGTCTATCTTTTGGCAGTTGCTGTTCTCCATCATTCCTTGGGCAGAGCTAGTGTCCCGCTGCTGTTTCAGAAGTTCTCCATTGCTCTGTCCCCGGCTTCAGTGTTTTGCAACATTATTTTTTTTAGAATAATTTTTATTAGTTTTAACATATAAATTATAAAATATACCACAAAACTTCACCACTTATACAATATTTTTTTGGACTTCCATCAGCGCAACTGATGATCCACCGTTTTAACCGCTTTTTATGCATTTCTTAAATTCATATTGCCTTTATTATCTTAACTAACCATCCTCCTCTTAGTCCATTTTTGAAATAGTTCCAGTAATTCTCCTCACAAAACTTATTGCAAACCTACAAACGTAGTCTGATCATCACAAATACTTTTCGTATAATCTGTAAATTTACTCCAGTCTTCCGTGAATTTCTGGTCCCGCCGATTACGAATCCTTCCTGTTAGTTTATCTAGTTCTGCATAGTCCATTAATTTCATCCTCCATCTTCTTTCGTCGGTAACAGTGTTTTGCAACATTAGCAGCAGCTGCAAAAAATCATAGTGTCCCCCCAAAAATTCTGTTTTTGCCATTTTTCTCTCAGCCCGGGGAGTAGAGCATTTTTGTATATTGCATTTACATTTTTGTATATTGTTCTTTTTTCTTACACATCTTTGCTATCCCCCCCTTCCATCTTTTTTCTCTGTATCACTTTAAATTTTTATAACTGAAATTCTTTCAATAAAATATTAACATTGCAGAGAGGGGGGGGACGACAGCTCATCTAGTTCAGCATCCTGTTCTCCGGAAGGTTTAGCCCCCTGGCAGGACTCGAACGCAAGACCAGTGCTCTCCCCTCCTGCAGCTTCCAGCACCTGCTATTCAGAAGAACTGCTGCCTCCAGCTGTGGGGGCAGAGCATAATCACGACATGCAAAACTAATATTGTTTAATTATTATGCAATTCTACTTTTACCACCCCCCAAAAATAGTCTGGTTCCAACTAGTTAAAAGCTTTTCCAGATATATAGTAAATTATCCTAAATATTCAGGCTGTGCAGAGTCACCCTGATCTCCCCTGGATCAGTCAGGCCAGAAGTCAAGCACCCATACCCAGCCCCAGATCAGTTCAGGGACAGAGCTAATGTTTAAGTGGGGGTGGGGTTCAATCCCTAATTAAATGTACAATCTGGAGGGGGAAGGAGGACATTCCACATCTCTTCTCCGCCTACAGAGAAGAAGAGTAGCAGTAGGGAGACAGTGTTTTGGTGGAGGTAAGAAACACATTATTTTCCCATTGATATCAAAAATAACTCTTTCTTGAATGGAAAGTAAAAGTGGAGGAGGTAAAAGCAGTCTTGATACACTGGGCCCAGGACATCGGACACAACATACTCATGAGTGAATAAGAAAGGCTATGGAAAGTGGACATTAAATTCACTGCCTGCTAAAACCTAAGGGAAAACATTTTGAAGACGCAATATAGATGGTACCTAAGCCCGGCCAAATTGGCCAAAATGTATAAAAATAGTACGGATGTGTGTTGGAGGTGCAAAGAGGGGATAGGTACCTTCATACATATGTGATGGGAGTGCAAGAAGTTAAGAGAATTTTGGGATGTCATCTGTAACGAATTGAAAAACATGTTTAAATTCCCTTTTACAAAAAACCCGGAAGCCTTTCTGCTCGGTATCATGTCTATGGAAATCAAGAAAACCTGTTGACCTTTACTTATGTATGCCACTACAGCGGCGAGAATTCTGATACCCCAAAATGGGAAAAGTGACATTAACCCCACAAAATCTGACTGGTTAGCAAAAACGATTGAATGTTTACATCTTGTAAAACTAACAGGGAGAATAAGAAGAAGTCCTATTCCAAAAGTTAATAAAGAATGCTCAGTCTTCAAAGAATATCTTAAAAGTTTATACGGACAAACGCAAGTCTTGTATTGTATTTGTTAAGTTCTATGTAAATTGATGCATCTGCTGGGTGACCTTGGGCTAGTCACATTCTTTGAAGTCTCTCAGCCCCACTCACCTCACAGAGTGTTTGTTGTGGGGGAGGAAGGGAAAGGAGAATGTCAGCCGCTTTGAGACTCCTTAGGGTAGTAATAAAGCGGGATATCAAATCCAAACTCTTCTTCTCTTCTATATTAACAATAAAGATCATTGGGGGGGGGCAGAAACACATTGCTTTTCCAAGTCTGCCCTGTGACATTTTAGAACAGTATATCTGATATTGTTCTAATAATGTTAAACAGGTCAGTGTGTATATAGCCTCAGAGTCCCTGTACTTAGCAAAAAGGTTATGGGGGGGGGGGCTGCTTATACAGAGATCTCAGGCTGAACAGGAGCTGCTGTGTTTACCCTGCATTTAGAGAGAATATTCATCACCATTCTGTTCCAATATCTGGATGTCAAGAGGAATTTTCCTTTGGCCCCCCGTTCGCTCATCATCATCTTCTCCTCCTCTGGCAGCAGATCCTCCTTCTTCACAATCTTCTGCTTCTTTCTTCACGTCCTTGAGCAACTGGATCCTTTTCTGATATCCAAGCTTGCGTTCCTCCTCTTCGGACACAATGAGCATGTCAATGTATTCTGGGGTGGAGAGTGGGTTGGGCTTCAGGGCAATTTCCTGCAGGCGTCGCAGGCTTTGAGACGCTCTCTTGATGTTTTTGATCAGATTCTCTCTCACCTCGATGCACTCCTGGCTGAGGAGCCGAAGCACCTCCTCTGCTGTCAAAACCCCATGGCAGGTGTGCTCATACTTTTTCTTCAGCTCTGCATAGCTCTTCTTCTCTTTCCTTATTTCGTCCTTAAATAGGAAATCCTGGGTGCAGTGGTCACTGACTGAGCACTTGCCAGGACAAATGTTGCATTTTCCTGAGAAGAAACTGATAGCGGAGCAAAAGCGGTTCAGCAGGTCCCAGGTACCCCTGCAAGGATAGTGGCAGGTGAACTCGCAGTTCTTGCAGTTGGTTGCATATTGATGAGCTCCAGAGAGGTCTTGCTTCACTTTGACGGTGACTGTGAACTCATACTCAAAATCTTTGTTGGCCGCCATGTCAGCTTGGTGATGGTCAAGGGCTTGTTCTGTTTGCTTCAGTTCTTCCAGTTTGACCAGCGCAGTTTTGATCTGGGGGAGCAGGCCCTGCACAACTGTCTCCAACTCTTTCCGCTCCCTGAGAACTTCCTTCGTCAAAGACAAACTCTTCGCATTCAGTTTGCTTAGCGAGTCAAAGTAGGTCTTCATGTTGTTCATACCCATTTTCCAAAACATTTCGTCAAAGTTAGGGCTCTCCCCATCCCCCACGACATTGTTGGCAAACAGGGCGGAATTGTTGAATTTGAAATGCACGGGGTTCCCCTTGCCATCTTTGGCGCATGGAACGTTGGCCGTCTTAATGGCCTCAAGGACCAGGGGAGTCTGTGAATCTGCAAAGGTGGTCAGGAACTGGATGTTCTCCTTGATATCTTTCCCAAAGATGGAGAGCACGGAATCAAAGACGTATTTCTCGGCTGCTGTTAAGCGGTTTGTGGAAGCCTTGACCACAAAGCAGACACAATCGATGTGGTCGATCCCTCCTGGGATGGAGAAAAACTCACGGATCTTCTCCACTAAGTTTTTGTCCTGCTCTCTTCCTCTCGTGTCTCCGAATCCTGGAGTGTCAACAAAAGTGAGAGAGCAAGGGATCTTCAGACCCTCTTGATGGTTCACCACATAAGCCATCACTTCAGATGTCTGGCTTTCCACTTGGTTTCTGCCAGTCACTTCATCGATAAGTTTGAACCGGAATTCGTCTCCCCATTGCACGCCCAGGATGTAGTTGATCATCCCATTGATGAGAGTGGTTTTCCCTGATCCAGACGCTCCCATCATCATGATCACTTTGTTGGTGATCTGCAAATTCTCTTTGCCTAGATGGTACTTTGGAGATGTTTCAGACTCTGTTTTCAGTTTTAATTTATAAACAGAAGGGTCACCCTTTTTTACAAGGTTACTTTCTTTGAGATATTTCTGAGGTGGTTTGTTTTCACTTGTTTCCTGTGTTCTGGAAGACGCCATCTTCTTTTTAACAAACCTGCTGTCACAATTAAAAGAGAAACACACGTACCTGTATTAGAAAAATAAATGTACTCTTCTTCCTATCTTTATCATTATGATTTTATCCCTTTCAACACACGTTGAAAGTACAAAATGCAATAAAAACAGTTCAAAAACATTTTAAAACAAATAGTAGCAACTTCCAAAATAAAAAACCCAGTGCCAAGCAGACTGTCAAGGCACAAACTTGTTGGAACAGAAAAATGTCTTCTATTTTTTTCTGGGTGCCTGTCCTATCTTGGGGTCCCCCTAGTCCCACCCCAAAGCCCAGGAGACCCTTGCGCTGCAGCCTTCATTCCTTTGCTCCAAGTCTGGGCCATATCAGGATGGATTTGTGGCCTTTCCAAAGAGCCAGAGAGCAGGAGGCATCAGCGCAAGATCCCTGTCACCAAGTCCCCTCTGCAATATGCCGTGGTTTACAGCAGCCATGCAAAAGAAGCTTTTGACAACTAAAGAAGTGGACAGTACCAGTGCAACCTCCAGCCATTTGGTGTAGGAGTCCACCACTATGAAGAATGTTTTTCTCTGGAAGGGGCCCGTGAATGCCATCTGCAGGTGTGACCATGGTGCTTGGGCAGACTCCCAGGACTGGACTGGACCCTTGGGGGATCCGGGCAATTTCAAAGATCCCCTCTCTGCAGACGCTGAAGAATGTCGCCCTCTTCTTGGTATTGTTGGTGACCTCTTTAGTTTCCAGGAGGAAGTTGAAACGGGTGGCGTACCCTTCCCAGTCTCCTGATTCTGTGTTGAACAGTGAGAAGCTGCTGTCAGTTGCCATTCTGAGTTCCTTGGGTCCCGGAGCTGAAGCCTGGATGCACGGTGCGATGCAGCGGGGTGGCAGGCGGTGGTGCTGTGGTGCTGTGCATGGCAGTTAGCTCAGCAGAATTCCACCTTCGCCGCCAGAGAAATATACTCAGAGTTGAGAGTGAATTTCATGCTTTTTATTCACCTCATAGTAGCAATGAATGAATCTTTCCCCAAAACGTCTAGCTATGTATACACATTATTTGCACAATGGGCTCGGCGTGATTGGCTAATTCCGATCTGCTCCTGTAGGCCAATCAGGTTGTGGATTCACCTCCTCCAGAAGCCTGATTAGCTGCTCCTGCAGGCCAATCAGGTCGCTGGTTCACTTCCACCTGGAGCTGGATTGGGTGGCTCCTGCGGACCAATCCGACTGCTGCATTCTGGATTCTATTGTTCTAGGATTCAGCTCAGTACATAACAGTATGTTTACAGAGCTTGTAAAAAACCACATTCAGCTGAATTTTCAGAGTTTCATTTCCCTGATTCTGGGAGGCCTTTCTTCTCCTCCTCCTCCTTCACCACCCAGTTCCTTTAAGCTGCAAAGGTGAAGGGTTTGGCTGATCCTTTCCAAACTGCGGAGTTCCTTCAAAAGCTTCCTCAGTAAGAGCTTCAGTAAACAGCAGTGCACTTGCCAGAAAGGCAGCTTAACCCACCGAGGAATTAGCCATGCTGAGGGGGTGAGGGTCGGGCTCAGCAGAGGAGCCGATGGGAACCAAGGCAAGGGTTGATGCTCCACAGGCTCCCTCCGGATTCCTCCCTCCCCACAGTTGCTAGATGCAAAGATATCAACAACATTAAATCAAATGTTGGGAAGGAAAGGAAGCCTGGCCGTTGCCTCCTGCTTCCACCCAAGGCAGCAGGGTTGAAATGGAGGGCAGATCTGAGAGGCAAACAGAGAGATGCCTTGGGCAACCTTTCTTAATGCTACGCACACAAATTATTTCACACGCAACTCTATAATGAATGTAGGACACTGTGTGAGGCAACAAAGGCATGCTTCTAAATGTGTATAGTAGTAGTAATTATAAAAATAAAAATAAATTTTTTTTTTTACTTATACCCCGCCCATCTGGCTGGGCCTCCCCAGCCACTCTGGGCAGCTCCCAAAAGAATATTAAAAGCACAGTAAAACATCAAACATTAAAAACTTCCCTAAACAGGGCTGCCTTCAGATGTCTTCTAAAAGTTGGATAGTTGTTTATTTCCTTGACACCTGACAGGAGGACATTCTACAGGGCAGATGCCACTACCAAGAAGGCCCTCTGCCTGGTTCCCTGTTGCTTCACTTCTCGCAGTGAGGGAACCGCCAGAAGGCCCTCGGAGCTGGACCTCAGTGTCCGGGCAGAACAATGGGGGTGGAGACTTCAGGTCTACTGGGCCAAGGCCGTTTAGGACTTGAAAGCTCAGCACCCGCACTTTGAATTTTGCTGGGACACATTTGCCAACTTCTACTTTTAACCATGGATGCTATGACTCTACCCATGAAGAAGAGGACATGTCCTGGAAAGAGGACATATGGCAACCCTATAATGCTTATCTCATTCATTGAGTGCGTTCAAGAAACAAAATTGTTCCTGAAGCCCCCTCTGCCCCCTATAGCTGGCACAGGAGAAATTCATGTCACTGCAGCCACTTTGCAGACATTTCACTCTTTTCTTTCAGAATACAAATAAAAGATGGGGGCAGAAGTGTAGCTTGTTGCTGGGACCCAGGAGAGGCAAACAGCCCCTGTGCCCTCTGACCCACAGCTCCTGTGTGATGGCCTGGGAATCGGATTCAGAGGCTGAACCTGAGGAATCCCAGCCTGCACAGGAGTCCCCGCCTCCAGGGCCAGCTGAGCCGGGGCTGGGGCATGAGCCTGAAGGGTCCTCACCTGTGCCGGATCCTCAGGAGCAGACACCAGATGAATCCGCTCTGGCTCTGGAGGTGATGGAGGACCCATTGCCTGCAGGTGCTCCACTCTCAGCCCCGTCAGGGGAAGCTGAGGTTGCCTCTAGGTCCGGTAACCCTCCAGCCTCTCCTGAGCTGCAGAGGCTCAGGGCAGAGAGGTGGAGGGAACTAATTTCTCGCAGGAGGAGTGCTCGCCTCCAGGCCAGGAGAGGCGAGTCACCTGAGGATCGGGGCCGCCCTATGCCTCGGGGCAGATAAAAGCCAACCAGCCCAGTCCCAGGTTGCGGGAGCAACATTGTTGGTAACCTGTTCCTGCCGGCACCCTGTCCTGCTCTTCTGCCAGAGTTCCTGACCTCACCCGTCTCCTTGCCTTGGACCCTGCTTCAGCCTTGATGGACAGCCTCCATACCACAATCTTGACCTCGAACTGGACTCGGACCACGCCACACGGTAACCCCCTGTGACCAGCACATCCTGGGAGATAGAGGTGGACGGAGCAGGATTGTACCTAGCATTGCCACTCTGCCATCTGCCTGGCTACCCTCCGAAGAAGTCCCTTTACCTCACAAGTAGCTTCTTACATTCTTGTTTCTTGTCAGAACTGAACTGAGGATCGCCCTTGTTGGTAAAACTGGAGCTGGGAAAAGCGCAACAGGAAACACCATCCTGGGCGACAGAAGCTTCACGTCATCCACATCCTCTTCCTCAGTGATGAGAAAGTGCCAAAGAGAGGAGACTATCATTGGTGGCAGGAGAATTGTGGTTCTTGATACACATGGCTTTTTTTGACACCAAGGTTCCAAAAGAAGAGGTTTTGAAAGAAATCAGAACCTATGTGAGGAACCTCTACCCAGGACCACATGTCATCATACATGTCATGCAAGTTGGGCGTTCCAGCCAGCAGCAGAAAGCCGTTGCTCAGAGAATCCAAAATACTTTCAGCCTCACAGCAAGAGCATACATTGTTCACCCGGAATGATGACCTAGAAGGTAGATCTTTCAGAGAGTTCTTGATGGAGGGAGACCAGGATCTGCAGAAATATTAACTCAGTATGGTGGGTGGTGTCTGGCTTTCGACAACTGGGCGAAAGGGCAGGAAAAAGAGGATCAGGCTGATGACCTGCTTGAAATAATCGATCACCTGGTTGAAAGGAGCTAGGCAGCCTGCTACACGCAAGACATGCTAGAGCAGGACAAAGAAGAGGTTGAGAGGATGAAGAGGAAAATACGAAGGGAAGTGGAAAGGGAAATTCATGATGAGAACAGAAGAAAGAAAGAAAGAAAGAAAGAAAGAAAGAAAGAAAGAAAGAAAGAAAGAGAGTCTGACTCAATATGCAACATATTGTAATGCATCTAGTGAGAATGATCCACTTAAATACCAGAATATTTTGACTATCAGTAGGGATGTCTCGTACACCCCAGGTAGTGTGGTTGCTGACCTTGAGCCAGACAGGCTGGAGAGTGAAGTCAAATGGGCCTTAGAAAGCACTGCAAATAACAAGGCCAGTGGAAGTGATGGTATTCCAGCTGAACTATTTAAAATTTTAAAAGATGATGCTGTTAAGGTGCTACACTCAATATGCCAGCAACTTTGGAAAACTCAGCAGTGGCCAGAGGATTGGAGAATATCAGTCTACATCCCAATCCCAAAGAAGGGAAGTGCCAAAGAATGCTCCAACTACCGCACAATTTCACTCATTTCACATGCTAGCAACGTAATGCTCAAAATTCTACAAGGAAGGCTCAAGCAGTATGTGGATCGAGAACTCCCAAAAGTGCAAGCTGGATTTAGAAGAGGCAGAGGAACCAGAGACCAAATTGCAAACATGCGCTGGATTATGGAGAAAGCTAGAGAGTTCCAGAAAGACATCTACTTCTGCTTCATTGACTATGCAAAAGCCTTTGACTGTGTCGACCACAGCAAACTATGGCAAGTTCTTGAAGAAATGGGAGTGCCTGATCACCTCATCTGTCTCCTGAGAAATCTCTATGTGGGACAAGAAGCTACAGTTAGAACTGGATATGGAACAACTGATTGGTTCAAAATTGGGAAAGGAGTACGGCAAGGCTGTATATTGTCTCCCTGGTTATTTAACTTATATGCAGAATTCATCATGCGAAAGGCTGGGCTGGATGAATCCCAAGCCGGAATTAAGATTGCCGGAAGAAATATCAACAACCTCAGATATGCAGGTGACACAACCTTGATGGCAGAAAGTGAGGAGGAATTAAAGAACCTTTTATTGTGGGTGAAAGAGGAGAGCGCAAAATATGGTCTGAAGCTCAACATCAAAAAAACAAAGATCATGGCCACTGGGCCGATCACCTCCTGGCAAATAGAAGGGGAAGAAATGGAGGCAGTGAGAAATTTTACTTTCTTGGACTCCATGATCGCCGCAGATGGTGACAGCAGCCACAAAATTAAAAGACGCCTGCTCCTTGGGAGAAAAGCGATGGCAAACCTAGACAGCATCTTAAAAAGTAGAGACATCACCTTGCCAACAAAGGTCCGTATAGTAAAAGCTATGGTTTTCCCAGTAGTGATGTATGAAAGTGAGAGCTGGACCATAAAGAGGGCTGGTCGCTGAAGAATTGATGCTTTTGAATTCTGGTGCTGGAGGAGACTCTTGAGAGTCCCATGGACTGCAAGAAGATCATTCTGAAGGAAATCAGCCCTGAGTGCTCACTGGAAGGACAGGTCCTGAAGCTGAGGCTCCAATACTTTGGCCACCTCAGGAGAAGAGAAGACTCCCTGGAAAAGACCCTGATGTTGGGGAAGATGGAGGGCACAAGGAGAAGGGGACGACAGAGGATGAGATGGTTGGACAGTGTTCTTGAAGCTACCAGCATGAGTTTGACCAAACTGCGGGAGGCAGTGGAAGACAGGAGGGCCTGGCGTGCTCTGGTCCATGGGGTCACGAAGAGTCGGACATGACTAAAGACTAAACAACAACAACAAGCTTATAGCTGAATTGATCATTAATTGCTGATGTTCTCTGCTAGCCTTCACATGAGTGTTTAACCTTAGATCATGCAATTAAGGTATTCAATTGCAAATTCGCCATTTGAATGGAGATGGCTTTGCCTTTTGTTCCCATGCAACAGTCAGAGAAAGGGTGTGATAATGATGTCTCTCAAGGAGCTGCGTAGCCTGAGGCTGGGTGCAGGCTAATGCAAGCTTTGGGAGAGACAGAGCTTGAATTTCTTGCTCTGATCAGAATTATATTTTTAAGAAAAACCTATGCTTGAATATGTGTGTGCTTTATACAACTTTCTGAATGTATCATTGATTGGTTTCTACCTGTTTTTGAACATGTTTTGGTTAGTAAAGCTTTGAAGAAAAATTATGAGTCTGGACTATTTTTATTCTGAAAGGAGTCAGTTTTCATATATCCAATGGCTGCAAGAGAAATGAGTCCTGAGGAAGCCCACATTGAGGGCCCCACGTTGCAGAATTCATCATGCGAAAGGCTGGGCTGGATGAATCCCAAGCCGGAATTAAGATTGCCGGAAGAAATATCAACAACCTCAGATATGCAGATGACACAACCTTGATGGCAGAAAGTGAGAAGGAATTAAAGAACCTTTTAATGAGACTAAACAACAGCAAAGTTAGTTATTGGTATGAGCTTTTGTGTGCATGCACACAAAAGCTCATACCAATAACTTACTTGGTCTCTAAGGTGCTACTGGAAGGAAGTTTGTTGTGTTTTTATTTATTTTATTTTGTTTTGACTACGGCAGACCAACACGGCTACCTAATGTAACTTAAAAAATAAATCAATCTCCTAGCCAGTGAACCCTGCATTTTTGGGTCCAATAGGCACCCAAACTGCTGGGGAGAAAAGGGCCAGCTTCCACCTTGGTTTTCAGAACAACAGAGAATCTGGGATGGCCTTCAACTGGGTGGCTGTTGAGGGTTCAGCAGCGTTAGTTAGCAGAAGTGGCTCACTAAAGCAGTGGATTTGGCAGACTTCCTTCCCGCCTGCTCTCATACCAGGGATGAGGATGCAAAAGTGCCTTAAAATTCAAGTCACAGGGATGTGCGGAGCTTCTTGGCTCTGAAACGGGGAAGACCCCAATAACCCCCTCCTCTGCGCTGGCTGAGAAATCAGTGGGGCTCCGAGGTGGGGCGGGGGCGGGGGTGGGGTGGGTAGGGAGGGTCTAAGGGCGTGCACCCACTCCCAACTCAGTCAAGAGGACTTGCCAAGTGAGGGGAGGGAGGCCAGGAAGATGCTCTGGGAGCAGAGCCCCCCGCAACGCCTCTAGGGGGTGCACAAAGCAAAACAGATGCCTGGCCGGAGAGAGAGAGGGACGAACTGGAAGAATAAAGACCCGGTAACCTTTAATAAATGCATTGACAATATCTCTGATAGCGTTCTAATAACATTAAACAGGTCAGTGTAGATCCAGCCTGAGAGTCCCTGTACTTAGTGAAAAGGATACAGAGATCTAAGACTAAACAGGAGCTGCTGTGTTGCCCCTGAATTTAGAGAGAAGATTCATTGCCCTGTTCCAATATTCGGATATCAAGAGGAATTTGCTTTTGTCCCCCCGTTCGCTCATCATCTCCTCCTCCTCTGGCAGCAGATCCTCCTTCTTCGCAATCTTCTGTATGATCTCTGCTTCTTTCCTCACGCCCTTGAGCAGCTGTATCCTTTTCTCATATCCAAGCTTGCATTCCTCCTCTTCGGACGCAATGAGCATGTCAATGTATTCTGGGGTGGAGAGCGGGTTGGGCTTCAGGGCAATTTCCTCCAGGCGCCGCAGGCTTTGAGACGCTCTCTGGATGTTTTTGATCAGATTATCTTTCACCTCGGTGTACTCCCGGCTGAGTTGCCAAAACAGCTCCTCCGCTGTCATAACCCCATGGCAGGCATGCTCGTACATTTTTTTCAGCTCCACATAGGTCTTCTTCTCTTTCCTTATTTCGTCCTTAAATAGGAAATCCTGGCTGCGGTGGTCGCTGGCTGAGCACTTGCCAGGACAAATGTTGCATTTTCCTGAGTAGAAACTGATAGCGGAGCAAAAGCGGTTCAGCCGGTCCCAGGTAGCCCTGCAAGGATAGTGGCAGGTGAACTCGCAGTTCTTGCAGTTGGTTGCATATTGATGGGCTCCAGAGAGGTCTTGCTTCACTTTGACGGTGACTAAGATCTCATACTCAAAATCTTTGTTGGCTGCCATGTCAGCTATGTGATGGTCAAGGGCTTGTTCTGTTTGCTTGAGTTGTTCCAGTTTGACCAGCGCAGTTTTGATCTGGGGCAACAGGCCCTGCACAACCGTCTCCAACTCTTTCCGTTCCCTGAGAACTTCCTTCGTCAAAGACAAACTCCTTGTGTTCAGTTTGCTTAGCGAGTCAAAGTAGGTCTTCATGCTGATCATACCCATGTTCCAAAACATTTCGTCAAAGTTAGGGCTCTCCCCGTCCCCCACGACATTGTTGGCAAACAGGGCGGAATTGTTGAATTTGAAATGCACGGGGTTCCCCTTGCCATCTTTGGCGCATGGAACGTCGGCCGTCTTAATGGCCTCAAGGACCAGGGGAGTCTGTGAATCTGCAAAGGTGATCAGGAACTGGATGTTCTCCTTGATATCTTTCCCAAAGATGGAGAGCACGGAATCAAATATGTATTTCTCGGCTGCTGTTAAGCGGTTTGTGGAAGCCTTGACCACAAAGCAGACACAATCGATGTGGTCAATGCCTCCTGGGATGGAGAAAAACTCCCGGATCTTCTCCACTAACTTTTTGTCCTGCTCTATTCCTCTTGTGTCTCCGAATCCTGGAGTGTCAACAAAAGTGAGAGAGCAAGGGATCTTGAGACCCTCTTGATAGTTCACCACATAAGCCGTCACTTCGTATGTCTGGCTTTCTGCTTGGTTTCTGCCAGTCATTTCATGAATAAGTTTGAACCGGAATTCGTCTCCCCATTGCACGCCCAGGATGTAGTTGATCATCCCATTGATGAGAGTCGTTTTCCCTGATCCAGACGCTCCTATCATCATTATCACTTTGTTGGCGATCTGTAAGTTCTCTTTGCCTAGATGGTACTTTGGGGACGTTTCAGACGCCTTTTTCAGTTTTAATGCATAAACAGAAGGTTCACCCCCTTCTACAAGGCTACTTTCTTTGAGATATTTCTGAGGTGGTTTGTTTTCACTTGTTTCCTGTGTTCTGGAAGACGCCATCTTCTTTTTAACAAACTTGCTGTCACAATTAAAACAGAAACACACGTACCTGTATTAGAAAAATAAATGTACTCTTCTTCCTATCATTATTATTATGATTTTATCACTTTCGACACACGTGTCAGGAAAAAGTACAAAATGCAATGAAAACAGTTCAAAAATATTCTAAAACAAATAGTAGCAACTTCCAAAATAAAAAACCCAGTGCCAAGCAGACTGTCAAGGCAAAAACTTGTTGGAACAGAAAAATGTCTTCTATTTTTTTCTGGGTGCCTGTCCTATCTTGACAGAAATGCTGTACCACAGATCAGAGGCAGCCACACTAAAAGCCCTGCTCTGAGTTACCAGTTGGAACCTGGGTGCATATCCAGGGTAAGAATTTATTGGTTATCAAAGAAACAAACAAAATCAGGGCGGTCCCAAGTTGGAACATTCAGGTGTGATTCCAGTAATGCAGAGGATCGGGCCCCTTCCAACCCTGCAATTCTATCACTCTATGATTTGGAGCATATGGGAGACCACATATTCAAAATATTAAAATCAGCACCAGATGACATCACATTTGGATGGAATTTGCCACCTGTTTGACTGTATTGTGAAATAAGCTACAGAAAGCCAACAAGTCCACTTCTCTTCTGAGAACCCAGATTTGGTGGGTCAATTTCTCTGATGGGGCTATGCCTAAGGCTTTTTAAAACCAGGTCATAATAGATTACATGGAAATATCCTTCCAGTCCTGAGCTCCAATTAAATGCACAGGTGTAAGCAAATGAGTTGTTAGCATCTTGCTATGTAAACCGGAGTTACATCCCAAAAAACATGGAGGCTCAACACAACCAGGGACAGTTCTTTTGTCTGGATGACGGTGCCGAGTTTGAAAACCACCAAATCCCAAAATTTGCTCACCTGCACACAATCCTACCACAAATGGTAGTTAAGAACCTTTCACATTGGAAACCCATCAATGAAAGGGGGGGGCACCACCCTTTCTGCATGTGGTTTAGGCGTAGTGGGGATAAAAACCATTTACATATTGTTTTTAGTGAATTTTAATGAATCTGACCATTTTCAACACACTTTCTTCTCTCATTAATTGATGGAGACTGGTAAAACAAACAAACCAAGGGAACACACAGAAATGTCCAGGATGCAGTTGCCCAGATGGTCCACAGCCGCCTGCCCCCTCCCTCCTGCAAGGAAGCAACTGGCGGCAGCAGAGGAGCTCAGCATCTTAGGAGTCAGGGCAGGGGTCCCCCTAGTCCCACCCCAAAGCCCAGAAGAGCCTTGCGCTGCAGCCTTCATTCCTTTGCTCCAAGTCTGGGCCAAATCAGGATGGATTTGTGGCCTTTCCAAAGAGCCAGAGAGCAGGAGGCAAGGGCATCATCAGCACAAGATGCCCGTCACCAAGTCCCCTCTGCAATATGCTGTGGTTTACAGCAGCCATGCAAAGAAGCTTTGGACAACAAAAGAAGCCGTGACAACTTCTAATGTGCAAACGCGTCTTACCAGAAACGTGGAAATCGGATGACTCTACCTTTGTCCACAAGTGGCTCTCTTCCTTGAGTTGTTTCAGGGGAACAGTACGACTTGCGTTGGTACCTTCTGAAAGCACAAGTCTGTTTCAGGCACAGAGGCCACTTCTCCTTTTATCTATTTGGGAGTGACAAAGTGCAAGGGGACAAGGATCACTTTCAGGAGGAGAAGGAAGTTGCGAGATAGTGGAAGCCGTTTCCACTCGTAGGCATTTCACTCCAAAAAGGCTCTTAAGCAGAGCATCATAGAGTTGGAAGGGACCCTAAGGGCCATCTAGTCCAACCCCCTCCTGCGGCCAGGGGTCCCCCAGTCCCTCCCCAGATCCCAGGAGAGCCTTGCGCTGCAGCCTTCATTGCTTTGCTCCAAGTCTGGGCCAAATCAGGATGGATTCGTGGCCTTTCCAAAGAGCCAGAGAGCAGGAGGCGAGGGCATCATCAGCGCAAGATCCCTGTCACCAAGCCCCCTCTGCAATATGCCAGCTGGAACGGTTTGCAGCAGCCGTGCAAAAGAAGCCTTTGACAACAAAAGAAGATGTGACAACTTCTAATGTGCAAACGCATCTTGCTAGAAACGTGGAAATTGGATGAATCTTGCCTCCAAGTGGCTCTCTTGCTTGAGTTTATCTCGACTTGCGTTGGTCCCCTCTTAAAGCACAAGTCTGCTTCAGGCACAGAGGCCACCTCTCCTTTTATCTGTTCAGGAGTCACAAAGTGCAAGGGGACAAGGATCACTTTCAGGGGGATAAGTTGCGAGATAGTGGGAACCCATTTCCACTCGTCAGCATTTCACTCCAAAAAGGCTCTTAAGCGGTGCATCGCAGAGTTGGAAGGGACCCCAAGGGCCATCTAGTCCAACCCCCTCCTGCAGCCTCCCCACAAGTCGGATCCATGCAGAATCAAGGTCCTTAGTTGCACAACCCTCCCTTTCCTGGTAAGGTAAAGGTAAAGGGACCCCTGACCATTAGGTCCAGTCGTGGCTGACTCTGGGGTTGCGGCGCTCATCTCGCTTCACTGGCCGAGGGAGCCGGTATACAGCTTCCGGGTCATGTGGCCAGCAAGACTAAGCCGCTTCTGGCGAACCAGAGCAGTGCACGGAAACGCCGTTTACCTTCCCGCCGGAGCGGTACCTATTTATCTACTTGCACTCTGACGTGCTTTCGAACTGCTAGGTTGGTAGGAGCAGGGACTGAGCAACGGGAGATCACCCCGTCGTGGGGATTCTAACCGCCGACCTTCGGATCAGCAAGTCCTAGGCTCCGTGGTTTAACCCACAGCGCCACCCGCATCCCTTATCTGGTATCTGGTATCTTTCCTGGTATCCTGACCCAAAATGGATCCATGGAAGCCGATTGGCTTCATACAGCAGAGATTGACATCACGGGGGATCTGTTCTCCCCCCTGGGCTTTTGGGAAAGAGGTTGTCAGCAGGGCCTCCATCTTGGCCTCAGATATGGGGGCTCTTGGCAGTAGAGGAAGGTTTCCCTCGACACTGAGCCACAACCAGCTTCAATTTATATGAGATTAGGAGAGAAGAGGCTTTCTGGAACAAAAGCAGTCGACCCCTGCAGGAGGGCCCTGAGATGTTTGGGTGAAGGGCAGTGTACAAACAATAACAATAATAGATATTAAAAAAAAATTCCTTCCAGTAGCACCTTAAAGACCAACTAAGTTAGTTCTTGGTATGAGCTTTCGTGTGCATGCACACTGAAGTGTGCATGCACACGAAAGCTCATACCAAGAACTAACTTAGTTGGTCTTTAAGGTGCTACTGGAAGGAATTTTTTTATTTTGACTATGGCAGACCAACACGGCTACCTATCTACAATAATAAATATTATCTTCCATTTTTATGCACTGTGGGGGCAGCAGGGCCATGCTCTGGGGGAACCCTTCCAACCCCTCACAGATGAAGGAAGAAATTCTGTGTATTCAGGGGGTGGAAGAGCTGACAGGAATTCGCCTCCCAGTATAAATGTGATGGGGCCGTCCCTTCAGGCAGGCGTGGGGAACCCTTGCCCCTCCTGAGGCTGATGAACTACAACTCCCACCACCCGGCCCTTTGGCCAGACTAGCTGGGGCCGGTGGGAGTTGTAGTTTGGCAACATCTTTTGCGCCCAAAATCCCCCCCGCCTGCCCCAGGGAAAGGAACATTTTGAACTCCTCATGATGAACTCCCCTCACAAATCTTATTTCTTTGACTGGCCAAAGGCTCTTCCGATGCAGGAGGGAAACATTTTGAACCTGCTGGACATTAATAGACAGGACATTAAATTGTTTTTATATGCAACAACAGCTGCAAGAGCATTGTTGGCCCAGAAATGGAAGCAAGAAGAAATACCGAAAAAAGAAAAATGACAAAGTTAATGGACTACGCAGAGTTGGATAAGATGACAGGAAGGATTCGAAACCTGCGGGACCAGAGATTCACTGAAGATTGGAATAAATATGTGAACTATTTGAAGAGCAACTGTAATCAACAAATTACACTAGTAGGACTACAAGAGGTTTTGTAAGGAGGAATATATGAAATATTGCAAAGAAGATAAAAAAGAGAGACATTAGTTATGATACTTAAAAGTAATAGTGAAAGTAAGAAATGTAAATTTAGTGGAAAAGATTGGAAAATTTTCAGATGTGATTGACAAAAAAAACTGTATAAGATATAAAAGTATGTTTTAAAATTGTTTATATTATTAATAATAATAATTCTTATTTATACCCTGCCCTCCCCAGCCAAGGCCGGGCTCAGAGCGGCTTACAAGCAATAATAAAAACAAGTTGAATGATTACAACTTAAAAACAAAATTAAAATACAACATTAAAATAACGAAATATTAAAATGTAGCCTCCTCGCAGGAGGAGAAGGCAAAGAAAAAGAAAGCGAGGGAGGGAATCAAGTTGATTCCAAGCCAAAGGCCAGGCGGAACAACTCTGTCTTACAGGCCCTGCGGAAAGAAATCAGATCCCGCAGGGCCCTGGTCTCATGAGACAGAGCGTTCCACCAGACCGTTGAAAAGGCCCTGGCTCTGGTTGAGGCTAATCTAACTTCCTTAGGGCCCGGGACCACTAGGGTGTTGCTATTTATGGACCTTGAGGCTCTCCGTGGGGCATACCGGGAGAGGCGGTCCTGTAGGTACGAGGGTCCTAAGCCGTGAAGGGCTTTAAAGGTCAAAAGCAGCACCTTAAATCTGACCCTGTACTCCACCGGGAGCCAGTGCAACTGGTAAAGCACTGGGTGAATATGCTCCCATGGCAGAGACCTCGTGAGGAGCCTCGCTGCAGCTTTCTGCACCTGCTGGAGTTTCTGGGACAGATTCAAGGGCAGCCCCGCGTAGAGCGAATTACAGTAGTCAAGCCTGGAGATGACCGTCGCATGGATCACTGTGGCCAGGTCGGGGCGGGAAAGGTAAGGGACCAACTGCTCGATGCGGCGAAGGTGGAAAAATGTTGCCTTGGCTGTTGCTGTAACTTGCGCCTCCATGGAAAGGGAGGCGTCAAGGATTACACCCAAACTCTTAACGGAAGGCAATGGCACTAATTGGGCCCCCGCAAGAGAAGGGAGTTGGTCCCTCATCCCCATGCCATCCCGACCCAGCCATAGGACCTTTGTCTTCAAAGGATTTAGTTTCAAGCGGCTCCCACAAAACCATCCAGCCACAGCTTCCAAGCATCTGGTCAATGTGTTCGGGGCCGAGTCGGTGTGGCCATCCATCAGCAGATAGAGCTGAGTGTCATCAGCATATTGGTGACAGCCCAGCCCAAGCTCCGGATAATCTGGGCAAGGGGGCGCATAAAGATGTTAAAAAGCATCGGGGAGAGGATTGCGCCCTGCGGCACTTCACACACCAAGGAGTGGCGCGACGACATTTCCCTCCCTAGTGCCACCCTCTGTCCCCAACCAGAGATAAAAGAGCACAGCCAGTTACAGGCTATGCCCTCTATCCCCACGTCTGCGAGGCGGTGGTCCAGAAGATCATGATCGACCATGTCAAAGGCTGCTGACAAATCTAAAAGGATCACCAGTCCTGACCTGCCTCGATCCAGTTGTCTACGGAGATCATCTGTTAGGGCAACCAGAGCTGTCTCGGTCCCAAAACCAGGATGGAAACCGGATTTCTATATGAGATAGAAATCAATGGAAAATGTAAGGAGCCGTGCGACAGACTGGCTACAATGTCATCAGTTACATGAAATGTTTAAAACAGACAGGAAAAATGTTTTTTGGGACCAAAGCTCACAATCTGAAAAGAAACTTCTATTAAGCAAAGAGAAACCTTTGTCCAAAATGTATAATTTGTTATTAGACTGGGAAACAAAAGCTTTTTAAAGCCTGTTAAAGCCTCAACGACACACTGAGCAATAGATATTAGGACACAATATAGATTTTAACCTCTGGGGAAAACTCTGGAAAAGTGACTTGAAGATTACAGCATGTTATTCTTTGAAGGAGAACTACCTGAAAATGATTGACAGATGGTACTTTACTCCAAGTAGACGTGCTAAGATGTACAAGACAGAATCAGATCAGTGCTGGAGATGCAAAGAGATTGAGGGAATGTTGTTTAATATGTGGTGGACTTGTAAAAGGGTAAAAGAGTATTGGGAAATTATTCATAATGAATTGGGAAAAAAATATTTAAAAGTGCTTTCCCCAAAAAACCCAGAGTGCTTTCTGTTGGGGACAATTCAGTCTGAAATTCCCAGGTGTCAAAAAAGGTTATTTATGTGTGCCACCACTGTGGCCCATGTTTTCTTAGCCCCCAAATGGAAAACGAGTGACGTCCCAACCAAAGAAGAATGGCAACTCACGTTGACTGAATATGCACAACTTGCAGACTTAACATACATAGAAAGAGAACAAGAAGAACATACATTTAGAGAAGATAGGAAAATGTTTATTGAATATATGGGAAATAATTGTGTACAGCTGAAAATGCTGGCAGCATTAAGATAAATTCAACAGTGTAAATTAGTTTTGATGGCTGTAATAATGGAATACTGATTGGTATAGTTTTTGTAAAATATGCAGGGATTTATGATCTGCAAAAAGAACCTCAGAAAGAGAAGAAGGGGATTCGTTGCTATTTTAAGGATGTAAAATGAGTATTTTAAATTGTAAAACAGAAAATTTAATAAAAATTATATAAAAACAGAAAAGGGTGAATCCTTGGCATGGATTGTGCCCCCTTTTCCCCTCCCTTTTAGAGCATCACCCAGAAGGGCAGACTTTGCCTCCAACCATCAACCGCCCCTTAAAAACCAAGTGCAGAAGGCGCATTGTGGCATTTGCAAAATATTCCCCCCCCACCCTAAATTTCCTCCTACAGGAGGGATCCCCACCTCTGCTTAATTCCACCAGAACAGTGGGGTGTTTTCACTACCTAAGCAGGAGGTCAAACTCCCCCCAAATTGAGGGGGCCGCCATCCCCCACTGCCCCCCGTGAGCACTGGCCTGCCAAGGGGGGGGAGGCATGGAGGGCAATGTTCACCCTTCTCACTCAGCAACATCACGTGACACTGGGCCCCCTCAATGTGGGGGGCAAGTCAGTGCCCCTGTTTGCTGCCTTAGTATGAGATACAGTGGTACCTCGGGTTAAGTACGTAATTCGTTCCGGAGGTCTGTTCTTAACCTGGAACTGCCCTTAACCTGAAGCACCACTTTAGCTAATGGGGCCTCCTGCTGCCGCCGCGCTGCTGGAGCACGATTTCTGTTCTCATCCTGAAGCAAAGTTCTTAATCCGAGGTAATATTTCTGGGTTAGCGGAGTCTGTAACCTGAAGCGTCTGTAACCTGAGGTACCCCTGTGCGTTCTCAGTATGCCTTGGAACTATGCTGCGATCAGTAACGCCAGGAAGGGTGGTCATGTTGCTGGCTGGCTTTTCCCCTTTGCAAAAGAACCGACTCAACTGTGAGCTGATCCCAAATTAATGAATGTTAGAATGATGTTGGATTGAAGTTAAGTGGTTTCTAGCTGTAATGGTTTAAAATATGGAAAAATTGGATTTTTAATAGGTAAAAATTTAATGTTATAATATATTAAGATTAAAGATCAGGATAATAAGGAGGGAAAGGAATTGCTGAAATAATAAATTGAACTGAAATACAAAAAAGGGAGGTATGAGGAGGTCCGGGAAACAAGTAAATGAAAGATAAGTGACGAAAAGATGGAATTATTTTTAACTGTTTTTTATTTTTTGTTTTTTTTATTTTTATTTTTCATTATGTAATATTGTGAAAACTTTAATAAATATGTATTAAAAAAAATCAACTGTGAGCTGATCCCCGCCCCAAAACGGGGCTTTCCCCCTTTCCTCCTCTAAAAACTAAGTGTGTCTTATGGTGCTTGAATATGAAAGAGCGAGAAAGTATGAGTGTGTCGCATTCAGTGCAGAATCCAGTTGGACCCTTGTGGCTGTCCAGCGGGGGCTGGGCAAGTGGGGCAAGCTTCCCACCAGAGTAAAAATCCTCACTTTTACTCACAGACCCGGGTTAAGAAAGGGCTAGCTTTGCCCCCGAGAACAGACTTTTGAAGCCGTTGAGTTCAACCATTGAAGAAATTGTGAAATTGGCAGACTTCGCCCCTTAGAAAAGCATGACCATGCCTGCTGATCGCAGCCATTTCTGGCAGAAAAGAAAACCGCTCCGCAGTTCTTTACAAATGCCCTTTGAAAGGTTCCCTCCCTTTTGGTTCTCTAAACCCATCTCCATTGCCCCCTAATCTACTGAATAAAAAAGTATTATTCAGAATAGCATTTTGCACAACCCACTAAGGTAGGTAGTAACACAATTGTAGCATTTTGCACGACAGCAACAATTGCACAATTCATTCAACCAATTCTGCCAGGGGGAAGGACATGTTCTGTTAAAAATAAACTTTAAAACCCCTAGAAGGATGTTCCTGAAGATTTTCAGGCTGAATCCACCATGGAGGGACTCCTTTAACTGCCAATTTAATCAAAAGGAAAAGATTCATGATTATACATGCAAGCCAAAGTTTTGCTTCCGAGAGCTCTAACTCAGCCTCTAGCAACAGGTCAAACAAAGCAGACCTTGAGCATCTCTGAGGCAGGTTGAGATACAGAAGACTTAAAGTCAGACCTTGTGGCTGCTGCTCCCTCTCCCAAATACCAACCTGTGGTCCGTCTGAGGTGTGGGTCTCCCTCTGTGTGGGTCTCCCTCCGTGTGGGTCTCCCTCTGTGCGGGTCTCCCTCCGTGTGGGTCTCCCTCCGTGTGGGTCTCCCTCCGTGTGGGTCTCCTCCTGCTGCTGCTCTTGGGTGCTTCTCCCAGAATTGCAGGAGATCAAATGCAGCTCCTCTGAATTTATCCTCCCAGAGGGCAGTTTTGTCCTCTCCTGTAACCAATAGAAACAGATATGCAATTCTGGGAAGCTGTTTTGGCTTCTCAGAACATGATCTGGCTGCTAGCCATGAATGCTTTTGGGGTGGGTGTGTGGAGCTCATGCCTGCCATCTCCATTTTATTCAGCTCAGAACAGAGTCGGCCATCGACAGAGAGGGAGAGAAGAAACTGCAGAGCAGAGGGACCATCGGACACGAGAGTCTTCTTCAAGCTCCAGAGGCGTCACAATTTGACTGAAGAAAATCATCACGGGGGGAAATGAATACAGTTCAAATTGGGAAAAATAAATACCGGTACAAAGGTACCTCATTTTTTGAACAGCTTAGTTATTGAACTACTTGGAACCTGAACACTTCGAACCCGGAAATGAGTGTTCCAGTTTTGGAACTTTTTCCGGAAGCCAAACGTGCTCTGTTCTAACTTCCATTTTGAGTGCCACACTTCCGTTTTCCTAGTGAGGGAAGGTGGGTCGGGTGGCAAGCAAGCAGGCACCTGCCACCCTCCAGCCCTGGGTCCCTCCACCACTGCCACAACAGCAACCACCCTCTCCTCCAGCTCTGGTCTGGCGGCCCTGGCACTGGGTGAGGGAAGTCTGGCCCGGGGCAGCAAGCGAGCAGGCAACAACAACAACAACAACAACAACAACAACAAATTTATTATTTGTACCCCACCTATCTGGCTGGGTTTCCCCAGCCACTCTGGGCGGCTTCCAACAAAGATTAAAAATACATTAAAATGTCACACATTAGAACCTTCCCTAAAGAGGGCTGCCTTCAGATATCTTCTAAATGTCAGCTGGTTGATTATTTCCTTGACTTCTGATGGGAAGGCGTTCCACAGGGCAGGCGCCACCACCGAGAAGGCCCTCTGCCTGGTTCCCTGTCACCCTCCCCCCAGCCTGCTCCACTTCTGAAAGATCTCTGCTGCCACTCCTGCTTGCACATAAGTAGGAGCAGGAGCAGGATCAGGCAGCTCAGCTGAGGTGCAGGGGCTCTCAGATGCGGCTGCCTCCACCTTCCCCAACCCCAGCAGCTATTCAGCCTGGCGACCTTCACGGGGTTGCAGGGGATCTGATGCAGAGGTGGTCCCTTTAAACTTCTCCCTTGAGGGGAGTGCATCCACGAACTCCTCTACGGAAAGTGTGACAGAGCCTGCACCTACCCAGCTGAGCAGCCCCGATCCAGCTCCTGTTCCCTCTATCTAGCAGAGAAGCCCAATCCCGCTCCTACTTGCCTGCAAGCAAGGCAGGGATCTCTCAGAAGTGGAGCAGGCTGGGGGACGGGGGCGACATCCCTTGCCTGCTCACTTGCCGCCCTGGCCCAGCCTTCCCTCACTCAGTTGCAGGGCTGCAGGGCTGCATTCAAAATAAAAACTGACACTTTCCAGAAAACCACAAAGCCAACAAACTCACAACTCGTGAAAAGGCAACAACACAACAAATTGAAAAAAGCAAACCAACTGCAAATGAATCTAAATCACAAGAAAACAACACTGACAATGACCCTGACCCTAATTCTAATCCTAACCCTAACCCAGCCCTCCTCTCCTCCTCACTCCTCTCCTACCCCTGGCACAGAAGCTATGGCACCAGGGCTGCAGACTTTGGACCCCGCGCAACTCTTCCTCCTCCCCCCACCCCCAGCACAGAAGCTACAGCCCTGCTGAGGCAACTGCGTGTGTGCCCACAGAGAGGGCACCGAGTGCCCTCTATGGCACACTTGCCATGGGTTCACCACCACTGCCATAGGCTGTTGGCCTAAACGTGATTTGAACACTGTTGTGGTTGATTTCACCAGTCAGAAGAGGGAGAGGTTTGGAGGGCAACTCAGAGTTGGTGCTGATCAAGGATCCATTTTGATAGAAGTAGACAGAAGCTCCTGGGTTCTTTCAGTCATGGACAGAGGACACAATGAACCGGGTCTTGCCATTTTCTTTATTGGCATTGGCAAAGTCAGAAAATGATTTGGCAGCTTGGCAGAGCTTTAGCTTCCTTTCCTCATCTCCAAACCACAGATCGGATTTTTGTTTGCTTGAGGAAGAAATGGCTGGTGTTAAATCTGGGTTTCCTCCTGAATCTTGTTTCTTAAACCACTGCTCTGAATCAGATAAATATGGTTCCTCATTGTGCAATGAAGTGAAGGTGAATGAGACAACGAAGTCGTGTTTATACTCATGCATTATATCATTCAAGTGGGTCAGAGAAGAAACTATTTCCAGATCTTTTAAATATAAGACTTCAATATGCTCATCTCTTGTTCCTTCTTCTTCAGAAACTCAGAAACTTGTTAAAAGGCGACTGGTCTAAGCATTTTTGCAAATTCTCCAAGGCCCCTTCTTCCTTATCCCCACCATGGAAAGAAGGCAAGATTTGTACTAGTTGTTTCTGGAAAACCTGTCTCTGACAAAGACATTGGAGTGCCTTGATTTCCTTCTTCATCTCTGGGAAGTTGGTGGCTGTGGGACTCTTAATCAGATCATTGCACCTTGCATCCATTTCGGTCAACTTCTCCAAAGTATCTTCCATGCAAAGCAGCAGTGGTCAGCTAATCTCAAGCACCAGCTGAGCTGCTTTTGAGTCCAGCTAGGTGAGAGGGTAGAGCCATACCTTGACGGGCACAGCTTTCTCCCTATTCTCCCCCAGCAGCGGGGGGAGGCTGGCATGGATTCTCATGGCATCTTGAAAGGTTGTTGGATACTGATCTAGAAAGAAATCACCATGGAAAATGCAGCTGAGCTTTTTTCTCAGTGCCATTCAATTTCAGAGACCCTCCTGCTTCTACTGAAACATTTGACACCTTCTTAATCATCCCCTTGAGATGCCTCTGTATGTCCTGCACGTTCTCAGATTCAGAAACCTCACAATCAAAGACAAAGAAAGCCTGGGCCCCATAAAGCACAGCAGTGACCGCGTGAGTGGCAGTTCCTTGCGCAAATTCTGGATAGGAGATATTTCTTCTCCCAAGGTGTTTCATGGTCAAGCGCTTAAATTCAGTTGTGGTTGAGTACCTGTTTAGGGAAGATTTTAATGCCTGCCATTTTAATGTATTTTTAATCTTTTGTTGGAAGCCGCCCAGAGTGGCTGGGGAAACCCAGCCAGATGGGCGGGGTACAAATAAATTATTTTATTACTACTACTACTACTATTTTATTAGTAGTATTATTACTGGAGAGCAAGCTGGGCATGATTCATGGATTTCTTGGTATCATTCAAGAAGGTGCCAGATCCACCCACTTCAACAAGCCCCCTCCCCCCCCCCCGGAATCTGGCTTTAAGTGATGTTTCCAAGTTGAGGCATTTGCTTTTGTCTTCAAAAGACTCAGAGGTGATGGTATGAAATTCAGTTCTGCATTGTGGCTTTGTATCAACATCACTTTGCAGAGTCTCCTGGTCCTACGAGGTGATACCTTGAGAAACAGAATAACGGAATATATTTTTTCAGTTTTCTTATTTTGAACTATTTCAAAGAGGTGAATATTTTTTTAAAAAACAAGTGAGATGTACATTTTGTCACTTGGAAAGGAAATGGCAACAGTGGATTTGCATATCTTTGAACATCCAACTTTATAATATCATTATACTTCTTTCAGCAATTTCCTGTTTCTGAAGACTCTTGCCCTTGTACCTGCCAGCATAGACCTGTGGATTCCTGACCATTTGGGCTGAAGAGGAATCGGCCTCATGCACTTCCATGTGTGATGTGTTTTTATCAGTCCTATTTTTCTAGAAAAAGAGGTGCCAGAAGTTCTCCCCATAAACACCTCCCTCATTCTCTTAGAATAGCAAAGGTGCTCACCTGAGAGGTGCCGGAACTGAGTCCCAGTGAGTTCTCACTGAAAAAATGTCCCAGTTTCTATTATATTGTTTATGGAAATGTATAGGTCACTAAGACCAGAAGTGGTGTGAAAAGTTTAGTAGCAAACCAAACAAAAATTACAATAAATTAAAAAGTATAGAACTTATGCCTGGCTCCTCTTTTTAAAATATATCAGAACCCACAGATAATATGGAAGTTGAGCCTGGCCTGTATCCGAACTGAGTGTTGCTTGAAACAACTTGGAACAGCTTCCTGAGCAGCACCTGACTGTGACTTCACCTCCTCAGATATTTCTATTTCAGATATGCCTATTTCTGGATTGCTTTAGATTAGGAGGCCAGCACTGGGATTAGGAGACCAGCATTTGATATGCCTTGAAAACGAAAGTAGGTTTCTGCCAGCACAGAAATAGCTGGACCAAGGCATTCTGCCACTGACTATAACAGCACCTGGTTTACGGGAAAAGCCTTGGGGTGGGCAGAGAGAAAGGAGGCTTGCTGGTGCTGCAGAAATAGTGCAGAGGCTCGCAATTTCTACCCTCCAATGACAGAAGAGAAATGAGGCCTTTTGGGTTGCCACACCCCACCCTCAGCCAGTCAGCACCCCAAGGTCCCTCTCCCATGCCCCAGCCCCCTCAACTCACCTCACTTCATATCTGACCATATTTACCTTATTTCTCCAAAAATATTATTATTGTTGCTATTATAATTATCATCTGCTGAAGCCATATACCATTTATTTTGTGTTTTATGTTACAAACCCATACAAGCAATAAACTACTGAATATTTGCCATTGCAAAGAAAGAAAGAAAGAAAGAAAGAAAGAAAGAAAGAAGAAAAAAAGAGAAAGAGGGAGAGCAGACCAGGCAGGGCCCAGAATGGTGCCAACCCTGATTATTTTGTGAGTTTCATTAGTTCTCTCCTGGACTCCTTTGCAGGTAAAAGGTAAAAAGGTAAAGGGACCCCTGACTATTAGGTTCAGTCGATGCTGACTCTGGGGTTGCGGCGCTCATCTCGCTTTACTGGCCAAGGGAGCCGGCGTACAGCTTCCGGGTCATGTGGCCAGCAGGACTAAGCCGCTTCTGGCGAACCAGAGCAGCACACAGAAACGCCATTTACCTTCCTGCCGGAGTGGTACCTATTTATCTACTTGCACTTTGACGTGCTTTCGAACTGCTAGGTTGGCAGGAGCAGGGACCGAATAACGGGAGCTCACCTTGTCACGGGGATTTGAACCCCTGACCTTCTGATTGGCAAGTCCTAGGCTCTGTGGTTTAACCCACAGCACCACAGCTCTCTGAGTGCCCCCCTAAATAATCCCACCACCAAGTTTTTAATGTTTGATGTTTTATCGCTTTATTATTATTAATAATAATATTCTGTTTGGCAGGGTAATTATTATTATTGTTGTTGTTGTTGTTGTTGTTGTTGTTGTTATCATCATTATTATTAAATATATAATAATAATAATAATAATAATAGTAAATAATAAAACAAAAATAATAATAGTTGGTGATGATGATGATTCTTCTAACAATGCTTCCGTTGACCTATGACTGGAAGAATTGCAATAAAGCACCTAAAGCACTCTGGTTCCCAAGACGGACAAGATTTCTGCTCCCCTCCCCCCCCCATTTCTTCCCAATGCTTTTCCTGTAAACCAGCTTGTTTACCAGCACTGACAGACATTGGCAGCCGGTGTGTCTGACCATGCCAGAGGAAACCCAATCCATGGCAGAATTACTTTCGCTTTCTACTCAGATCAAATGTTTGTCTCCTAATAAGTTCAGGAAAACAGACAAGAGAAGCAGCGCATAAGGCCGTCCAGGTCTGTATCCAAGTGAGGGCAGAGAGGGCAGCTGTGATTGCCAAAGAGGTAGTGAAATATACTCGGAGTCGAGAGTGGATTTCCTGCTCTTTATTCAGCTCATAGTGGTGAGGGGAATGGAAGTTCCCCCAGAATGTCTGCTTTATATACATTATTTACACAATGGGCCCCATGTGATTGGCTAATTCCGGGATTCTCCTTTAGGCCAATCAGGTTGCGGATTCACTTCCACCTGGGGCTGGATTGGGTGGCTCCTGTGGACCAATCAGACTGCTGCATTCTGAATCCTATTGTTCTAGGACCAATCAGACTGCTGCATTTTGGATCCTATTCAACTCAGTACATAACAGGTAGTGTGTGGGCATGGGGTTGTGAAGAGGGGCGAGGGAATCTGAAACTACCGAAATCTAACTGCCCAAATTTTGTTGCTAAAAGTTAGAACAACCTGCAACACCAGCAGCTTTTGTCAAATGTCCTGATTTCAGTGGCAATCTTCCCGTTTTAGTTGCTGTTTACAGAGAGATTTAGGGATTTTGTTTATTTTGAATGGTAACCCCCCTTTGCTCTTAGGAACTGGCAGGTTAGTTGTCATTAATGTGTAAATAACTCGTATCATTTGCAGTGACAAGTTTCTAGCGAGTGACTTGGTGGGAGCAAGAGAAATGTCTGCTTGTTTGGTTTCGGATTCTTCCTTGGCAAGTATTAAGAAAGATGCCTGGAAAAGGCTCCAGTTTAGCCGATGGAAAGTATTTTCTGCAAGAAAACACCAGTGCATATACCAAATTCCTACAAACTTTTAAGAGGATTTACAAAATATTGTAGCTCTGTAGCTAGGTGGGCTTGTGCAGCTGCTGGTTGAAGCCCCCTGGGGGAGATGTCTCCAGATGTGAGCCAAGGGAATCCTCCTTAATGGGCTCAGGGTGGAGGATGCAGAATGGAAAGAAGCAGAAGTCCCAGCAAAGGAGGAAGGGATGCAAAAACTTATGGAATATGCAGAAATGGCAAAACTTACCGGAAGAATAAGAAATCAGGATAACAAACTTTTTATAACAGTTACAGATAGGTAGCCGTGTTGGTCTGCCATAGTCAAAATAAAATTTAAAAATTCCTTCCAGTAGCACCTTAAAGACCAACTAAGTTAGTTCTTGGTATGAGCTTTTGTGTGCATGCACACTTCTTCAGATACACACTTTTTATAAAAGAGTGGAAATGGATTACTGAATTTTTACAGATAAACAGTAAACAGATAAAAACATTAGCAGGATTACTGTAATGATTACTGTAAAAACCTGCAGTTTTATAAGAGTATATATTTACAGTAGATAAATAAATGAGCAAGTTAAATGAATTTGGATATGCAGAATATATTTTTGAAAAAAATAATAATTTAAGGAACCGCAGAAAGAGGGGGAAGGAAGTCAAAATTTGGAAATGTTATGTTAAATTGTTTGCAAAACGAATGAAATGTATAAATTTGAAAAATATAAATAGAAAACTAAAAAAGAAAAAAGAAATGAGTTCCATGCGATGTGCCAGAACATCACCAGTGTTGGCTTGAGAGTCAACTCCCAATCAAGTAGGTTTGATGCAGAGAATGGGAATTGCACCATCTTCTTCTTTGCCTCAGGCAGCAAAATGTCTTGGGCCGCTCCTGCCTTGAGGATGGGAGATGGTGGCTGCAGCTGAGGGCAGCAGGATGAGGAAGGGATGCATCTGGCCCAAGGGAGCACAGAGCCATGGACCGTCTCCCGGGCAAAGGAGGACAGGACCTCCACCTTCAGCCGGTGGCTTTCCCAATGGGCACCATCCGCCAACAGGCCATTTGAACCTGGACAAAGATGGACCTGTGGGCTTAGGCCCCACTGACCTTTCCTTTCCTCGGGTTCAGCCCCCATAGCCCCCAGTCCACCCCCAATTCTCTCTGGAGATTGACATCCTCATCATCTTTTAAAAAGTGGGGAGGGGGAGAGGCGTCAGCATGACTTAGCTTATTGGGTTTAGGAAAAGCTCCACAGCCATTTACAAGAGTCAAATACAATCCTAAAAATGCGTAAGCATAATAAATATCTCCTTAAGGGGATCGAGGGGGCCCTGTGGGTGATGCCTAGCAACATCATGACGTCATGCGTGTGATGCTGTGTGATGCTGCATGACATCATGCGTGCGACATTGCTCAACACCTTGAATCTTCTGTCTTCTTTGGCGATCCCTCGTAGCTGAGTAAGATTGTCTTCCATAAACACGGTTTTATCAGTGACTGTGGAGGCCAATTCTGGATCCACACATCCTTCCACAGTAGGGACATTGGTTTCCGGGTGGGAGTTGATCACGGTATGGATTTGCGAAGCGTGCCTTCCTCTTATCACGTTTCTCCCTTGCGTCCTGAGTTCGAGTGTCTTCAAAGCCCAGGACACCTTTGGTCAAGGCTGTTCTCCAACTGGAGCGCTCACAGGTCAGTGTTTCCCAGTTGTCGGTGTTTTTACTACATTTTTAAAGATTTGCCTTGAGCCTTTGAAGCTCTTTTGTTGACCACCAGCATTACACTTTGTGAGAACACCCTGAATATTAGGAGACTCGTCCCCCTCAGCCCCTGCCAGGCATCATTCTGTGCACTTCTCAGTCTAGTATGGTGCTGATGATGTCAAGGTTGCAAGTTCGATGGGGCAGCTGCATATTCCTGCATTGCAGGGGGCTGGACTAGATGACCCTCTGGTCCCTTCCAACTCTAGAATTCTCTGATTCTGCGAGCCTCTCGTGCGCTCGCCTTTTCTCTAAGCTGAAAAGCGCCCGACGCTGCCACCCACCGCCCAAACCAGCTGCTGGTTCTCCAGGCAGCCACTGGGGGGAAATCTTGTCCTGCTCCTTCCAAGCAGAAGAGGACTTAATTCAGCTGCTACTTTCATTTTCCCTTCGGAGAAGCAGCTCGTCTCTCGCTCCCGTTCACTGCAGGAAAACTCAAACCGGCGTGGAAGACGACGCGGGACGAGGAAGGATCTGCAGAAGCAGCTGAGGAGGTGAGGTCTGCCATCTGGGAAGGGCCGAGTGGTGGAGAGAAGGAGGGAGAGAAGGATCTGGTTGCAAAGGGAGCCCCTGCTGCAAGAGGACCCGGGAGACGCCCCTTGTCCCGCAGCCCTGGGCAGCCTCTCCGCGCTCCTGGGCGCACCTTCCTCGCTCAGAAGCAGCTCCCTTCAATATGCCCAGACATACCAGGCTGGGCCCCTGCCCTCAAGCTTCCTAGGGAGGCAGCAGCTGGGTTTAGCCTGTTGCAACAAAAGGCAAGGAAGGATCCCTGTGGAGGATCCCTTAAAGGCTGATCGACCGACTGTGGCTTAAGAGTGCGCCCGAACTGGGGCTTCTCTTCCACCACAAACAGGAACAGGGCAGTTGCAGGGTTGTGTTTGTCAGGGACACTGTCCTCCTTCTGGCGCTTGCTGAAATTATTCCTTACCCTCCCCAATGTTTTTCCGATGAAAATAGGGACGTCCTATCCCATAATAATATTAATAGTTTTATTATTTGTACCCATCTGACTAGGTAGCCCCAGACACTCAGGGAGGCTTCCAACATGTATATATAAAAGCATAACCAAACATTAAACAGCTCCCTCTACAGATGTCTTCTAAAGGTTGTCTAGTTACTTCTCTCCTTGGCTCGTGGGTTCCGCAACTCCAGGCCCTCCAACATTTCTCCGATGATCATAGGGACATCCTAAGCCTGGATGTCTCTGTTGGTTAGAGCCAAGGTTGCAGGTTTGATCCCCGTTTGGGGCAGCTGGATATTCCTGCATTGCAGGGGGGTTGGACTAGATGACTCTTGGGGTCCCTTCCAACTCCCCAATTCTATGTTTTTATTATTCTAAGGAAAAGCGGGACATTCTGGGATCACATCTGAAACCGGAGGGGCTTCTGTAAATCTGGGACTGTCTCTGGAACACAGGGACACTGGGAAGGCCTGTTAATCTTGGTTAGACAAGCCTATTCAGATGCTTAGAAAGCTGGCGAGACTTTTAATCTGTTCTTAGCTCTTGCCATTTTAACTTTTTAACTCAGCTTTTAAGTCATTGTTAATTCTTCTTAATGGTGATTTTATCTTTTGGCAAAATGCTTTGAGGTTCTTTTTTTTTTACAATCAAGGGGTGTATATTTTTATGAAATGAATAAATTAAACAAACACTCCACCAGAATATAAATTTCATTATTTGCACCCCACACGCCTGACTGGGTTGCCCCAGCTACTCTGGGCGGCTTCCAACAGATCTAAACACATAGATAAAACATCCAATGTCATATAAAGCCTTATATGTTTAGACTGATGTTTGCCAGGCGCTCTCTTCAGGGTGAGGGGGGTGTTCTTCTGCTTGCAATACATGAAAATAATATTTGAAATTAATAATAATTACGTTTTTAATTGAATTCTGTTGAAGTGCCACCTGAGGAAAGAGCCACGGCGTTTGGGCACAGTTCAGTGGGCATTTCCTTTCTCATTGCCTGCAAAATATTCTGAACATCTTTATGTCTGCAATGTGCTGTTTCTCCTTTGAGATACCACATGTCTGAACTAGGGGTGGGGTGCTGGGTTTGCAGATGGAAGGCTGCCTGAGAAGATCATCTTGATTTCTTGCCATTTTTTTCAGGGGAAGATGGACTGGACCAGAGGAGGTAAGGAAGGGTTCCAGTGACTCAGAGGCAGATTGACTGCTTGGGGTGGGGTGGATTATTCCAGATCTATTTCGCAGGAGATTTCACGGCACCCCAATGACATTTATTTTATTTATTTGCAGAAAAAAAATATTGTTATACCAATGTGTAATATTTTGGCATTTTGGGAGGTGGGAGGTGCCTGGCTGGGATGCCATCCTGACACACATCTGCAGGAACCTAGAAAGATGCCCTCGGCAGCATCAGGCCACTGGTTCTCCCGGCTCATTCTTGCCTGCACTGACCAGAGCTGGGAAAAGGAACTAGCGCTTGTTCAAATTCAAGATGCATATCATAAATCCCTGCATATTTTACAAAAAACTAAACCATTCAGTATTCCATTATTGCATCCATCAAAACCTATTTACACTGCTGAATTTATCAGGTGTACACAAACGTTTCCCAATCTGTTTTTCTTCTGCTTTTATTTATACATGTGTGTGCTTTACATATGCATTCAGTCTCTCTGAGGATCAGAAAACAATATAATTCTCAACAATCACATATTAAGAGGGATCTCACTAGAAGTGGTTGCTCTGATATTTTTGCTGACCAGCTCTTTGCTGTCTTTCAAAACCCGCAGGAAATAGGGGAGAACTGAGGATCGTCCTTGTGGGAAAGACTGGAGGCGGCAAAAGCGCCACAGGAAACACCATCCTTGGCCAGAAGCTCTTTGATTCGAAACTTCAGGCCAGGACAACCACCTTGGTCTGCCAAAGGGCGTCTTGCACTTGGAGAGGCCATCCTGTGTCCGTGATTGACACAGCGGATATTTTGGGCAACGGAGATTGTGATGAAAGGCTGGACCAGGAGACCAAGCGCTGCCTTGACCTCTCTCAGCCTGGCCCTCATGCGCTCGTGTTTGTGACCCAGGTGGGCCGCTTCACCGCGGAGGACGAGGAGGCAGCCCAGCGAGTCCGGGAGATGTTTGGGACAGAGGCCATGAAGCACACCATCCTCTTGTTCACCCGCAAAGAAGCCTTAGAAGGCAACTCCTTGCGGGATTACGTGATGCAGTCAGATAACGAGGCTGTCCGGAAGCTGGTCCAAGAATGCGGGAGGCGCTTCTGCGCTTTTAATAACAGGGCGGCATTAGGAGAACGGGAGGACCAGGTCTCTGAGCTGATGGAGATGGTCCTGGAGATGGTCCAGGGGAATTCAAAGCCATACCTGGAGACGCCATCCATGGAGGCAGCGCTTGGATCTTACATCTGCAGGAAAGGGGCCAAGGAAGAGGGGAAAGGGAAAGCTCGCAAGGGTGTCAGCTACAGAAAAATATTTATCGCCTTATGTGTGTGTGGTGCAGTGCTTTACCTGTTACATTACCATTTTAATCGTTTCTCTCAATATCTCCCCTTTAGCAAAGCTGGGGATTTTTAAAGCCAGCCCACCAACTTCTTATGAGGTGTCAGGAGAAAAACAAACAAATTTCCTAATAAACTAATGAACAAACTGGATTGTCTGGGTGCAATGTCCTAAGAATCACCTGCTTAGTATTTTATTTGCCATTGTATCAGTTGCAATGCCCCTGTGACTCTGGACAAATAGGAACAACAGCATGTGCTTCTCCAGTGCCTATACTATAGAGACATTTGTATTAGCCTCCTCTCCCCATTACACCATAAGTACTCCAAGGTGCACAGGACCATTTTATGCCTCCCTGCTGCTGTCAGATCCCAATCCTGCTACAACATACGACATTGCCAGGTTCTGCACAGCAGCGCTCAAGATCCTTCAGATGATGACCTTGCCACAAACTAGATTTAATGAACACTCACATCATAGTGCTCTCTAAACTGATAGTTGTAGTCTTTTATATACTAATCTTTTATGCTCCTCCACATCAGTTTAATGCTCCTAGCCCCTCTTCTAGTTACTTTTAGATTCTTATAGTCTTTTAGATATACGGTACAGAATGCTCCCCATGCATGGTGAATAGGCTGAACGTGATTTCTGGAAAGGTTTGCACCTCTAGAGGTGGAAAGCAGGTAGTGGATTTGCAGCATGATTTTGCATGAGTGATGGGGGGGGGCTGAGAGAGGATCGCCCACCCCCTTCCTTGCCCAGCTGCAACACAACAGCCCTGCAGAGCTGACCGTGGGTCTTATTCTCTGGGGGTTGCTGCTTTCAGCTCAGATGCAGAGGGACCTGGGATGCAGCAAATAAATTGCTTTAAAAAATAAACCAATCTCCTAGCCAGTGAACCCTGCGCTTTTGGGTCCAAGGGCTCCCAAACTGCTGGGGAGAACAGGGCCAGCTTCCAGCTTGGTTTTCAGAACAACAGTGAATCTGGAATGGCCTTCAACTGGGTGGCTGTTGAGAGTTCAGCAGAGTTAGTTGGCAGAAGTGGCTCACTAAAGCAGACGACCTAGAAAAAGGATTTGGCGGACTTCCTTCCCGCCTGCTCTTATACCAGGGATGAGGATGCAAAAGTGCCTTTAAATTCCGCAGGGATGTGCGGAGCTTCTTGGCTCTCAAACGGGGAAGACCCCAATCCCCTCCTCTGCGCTGGCTGAGAAATCAGTGGGGGCTCCGAGGTGGGGCGGGGTGGGTGGGTAGAGTTCAGCCGGTGCCTTGGGCTCCGTCACTGCCTCCCCTCCGTCAGGCTGGGACCCTCATGCATCCCCTGCTTTGGAGAGGCGAGGGGGCGCAATGCTCTCCCCTCCCTTCCGCCCCATTCACAAGCCAGGTCCTCAAGGAATTTGAGCCTTTCTCCAGGGTCAGGGAAGCCCCAGGAGGGAGCAGGGGGCTCGGGATGCAGCAGGAGGAGCAGTTCTCGTGGAATTGGAGAGCTCAACCCTTTCCTCCTCCTTCTCGGCAGCGAAAGAAGACAAGCGCTGGACCGCAGGGAAGCATCCTGACTCTTGACTCTTCGTTGGGTCATGGGCCAAGGAATGGGTGAGAGACACTGCAGTCTTCCTGGTACTGATGGGGAGAGCATACTTCTCAGGTGAAAGGCTCTTCATCTCTGACTTCGGTACCTTAAAATTCAAGTCACGGGGATGCGCGGGGCTTCTTGGCTCTGAAACGGGAAAGACCCCAATCCCCTCCCCTGCGCTGGCTGAGAAAGCAGTGGGGGCTCCGAGGTGGGGGGCGGGTGTTGTTGTTTAGTCGTTTAGACAGAGGAGGAGATGGCTGGACAGTGTTCTCGAAGCTACCAGTCGTGGAATTGTAGAGTTCAGCCCTTTCCTCCTCCTCCTCCTCGGCAGCGAAGGAAGACCAGTGAGCTGTGGCAACATGCTCAGGGAAGTCATTTTGAGAGTTAAAATGTTAAGCAAGGAAGCCATTTTGTTGTTCTAGGCCAGGCCCCATATCCAGTACATACACTCAGACACCCATTGCCCAGAGACACACAGAGATAGGCTGATAAGGAAGTGTCATGTCCAACTCCTCATGCCTTATCTCTAGGCGGAATCTATTCTATCTATCTCAGTATGTGTAATGCTGTAAATTTTGATCGGATAAAGACCTGACTAAAGAATGTATAAAGGGAACCCTCTCCTGTTGGGAGGTGCTGGACTTCGGAACTTATTCCTCTGGTGCCATTGCTTGCTGCCGGCAAACAATTAAAACTTTATTGCTTTATTTATCTGTTGCTGCGTGGTCATTTGACTGGCCTAACCAATTGCTACAGAGCAATGTATTTTCTTCAAGGCCTGACGCCTCGTGAAGTGATAAGAGAAGGCCTTGCAAGGGATTCTGTTAGGGGTTGATTTAAAACCAGGTCCCCCAGTCTGGCCTCCCAGTGGCTTCTTGTGGTAAAAAAAAATATGGCTGAGTGAAATTTGGGGCCTGTATAAGGGAGTCCTTGGAGCACCCCACAATCGCCTGACCGTGGCTCCTGTTATGTATTGAAGTTCTCACTCTGGCCCCCAGAGGTATTGTGTATATAGTTTTCACTCAGGTCCACGTAAGTTAGTTTACGCGGGAAACCTTGAGCTGTTGTTGTTACAGTGTTGATAGCCGGCTGCCTATAAAAGCAGGCCGGCTGAGCTGTTTGCTGATCAGTTCAGTTCCAGCTTACTTATAAAGAAGTACTTGGAGAAATCTCTGTGTCGTCTGCTATGTCCACCCACTACTTAATACTGGCGACGAAGATGGGATAGGATGGACATCAGAGCACAGCCAGATTCGGATACTCACTGAGTGGAATCACTGAGCTGAAACACTGAGTGAAATCACTGAACAGAACCCAGTTCAGAGCTGGCCGTACTGGTTAGAGCACTGTGTTCCATCCATCACCCACCACATCAGCATCGGAAACATGGCTTCACTCGTGCCCCTACTGACATTTGCCCCAGCCTCTGAATCATGGGACTCCTACCTCGCTCGGTTCGCCTGCCACCTCCAAGCAAACGAGCTGACAGGTCAGAGGAGCGTAAGCGGGGCCTATTCTTCAGCCTCTGCAGGCCTGATGTATTTGAGACGGCCTGAGTTTTGGTTGCGCCACTAACAGTCCAGGCAGCGCCGTGGGACGTGGTCAGATATGGTCACTCTGCTGGTTGGCTAAGGCTTGGAGGAGGACTATGATGGTCTTAGTTCTCCTGGACCTTTCAGTAGCTTCTAAACAGGCTGCCTGGGGTGGGACTCCAGGGGCAGTGTGTTTGAATGCTTCCAGTATATAAATATGAACTCAAATATTGCAAAATGCCATAGCATTCCAGCAATGAAACCTAAGCTCTGTGTGTAGGCAGCAGTGCACCCCTGGAACTCCACACTGCTCAGATAAGTGGAGTCAATGTAAGATGGCGGGGTCACGAAAAACGTATGGCAGCCCTAAGCAATCGGCACCCTAATCCATGGGGTCACGGGGCCACCCAAAACCCGACATCATTCGATTCACTCCAAAGCAGTACAAGATGTTGACAAAAGGTCTGTGATAGCTTTTCACAGCAAAAACCCCATGCTTTGCAACGCCCCAAAAGTGGAGCAATCAGCACCAGAAGTCGGGTGTGTGTGTGTCACGAGGTTGCTGAAAACCCGACATCATCCAATTCACTCCGAAGTGGAGCCAAACACCAACGAAAGGTCTGCAGCAGTGTTTCGTGGTGAACACCCCGTGTTTTGCGGCGCCCCACAAACAGAGCCCTCGGCCTGTGGCAGAGTGGGCATTGCTCTCTTTGTGGGGTGTTGCAAACCATGGGGGTTTCGCTGCAAAACCTTTTCCAAAGTTTGGCACCAGTTTGGAGTGAATCGGAGAACGCTGGGTTTTTAGTGACCTTTTGACCCCCCGTTTGAGGGACTATTGCTCCGTTGGTGGGGTGCTACAAAATGCAGGGTTTTTACTGCAAGACACTGCAAAATGTTTGCCAAAGTTTGGTGCCAGTTTAGAGTGAATTGGACAGTGTTGGGTTTTTGGTGAGCTTTTGACTCCCAGTTTAGAGTGTGTATCACTCGCTTCATGGGGTGTTGCAAACCACAGGATTTCACTGCAAAACGTTTGCCAAAGTTTGACGCTTGTTTGGAGTGAATTGGACAATGTTGTGTTTGGGGGCATTAAGTACAAACTCAGGTTTCCTGTATCAATTACTCCATTTGTGGGGCACTGCAAAATGACTGCAAAACATTGGTACTGGTTTAGAGGGTATCCCAGATTTTGGAGTTCGTAGTTAATGTAGCTGAGCCATTGCCATGATTGAACAATTTAAATGGCACGTTTACAAGATAAGAACTGGAGTATTGCCTGTTTATAATATGTGTGTTCTGTATGTGTGTGTCCAGAGGACAACATTCACATTTACATCGCATTAATACACAAAAAGGACATTGTGGCATAAAATGAGCTACAAAAATGGAAGTCCTGTTTATACTGAAAATAAAATACCTGCGCCAAATGAAGGAAATGGTGAAGCTGACATACAAAGCATTATGTATTGTTCCAAAAGTTGGGTGCCACCCCCACTCTCTGCAGGATTCCAGGGCTTCCCAGCACTCACCCTGGGTCTGTGTTCCTTTGGAGAATTGAGACATGGTGGAGACTAGTATTCCTCAAAATCCCATAAGCCAGAGGTTTTCAACCTTTTGGGGTCTATGGTTCACTTGACCAACTGCATTCTTTCTGCAGCTCCCCTGTGGGGCTCAGGAGCCCAGTCATGTCGCCCCTTGCCTGCAGAGCCGGCAGCCCCTCACCCTTTTTTGAACACCCTCCCTTGTGGAGTGTTTCCTTGGCCTCCTCTCCCCTCTCCTTGGGAGTCCTCTGGGCGGCTGCCGCCCCTGGTCTCTAAGGTGCCCTCCTGCCCTAAAGAGAGGTGCCTCCTCACACTGCCCCACAGGGGCCTGGGAAGAGGATGCCCCCAGCTTTAGTGGCCTGACGGAGACAGGCCAAAGGTGAACGTGAGACCAGCACCTTAGTCATCTTGGGCGGCAGCAGCGGGTACTGCCAGGCCTGCATGGCGGTAAGGCTCCCCTTTGGCACTGGGCACTCAGCTCCCAGGCAGGCCTTGCACACAGCAAGCACAAGAAAGGCCAGCACAGCGCCTGCCTGTCTGTCCAGCCTCCCACTTGTCTGTCCATTCCCAACAGCAAGGGCTGGCGGACTGGCTGGCTGG